TCAGAATAGTATCAATCAAACACGTACAAATTTTATTATGTGGCATATACTCAACCATATAACCGACATAAGAACATTTTTGGGTATGATGACATGTGGTTTGCAAACACAAAACATAAGAGTTTGTACAACAGGAGAAACTTTTAAAATGGTCTAAAAGTATCTGAACGCGTCGATCTTTAGCTTATCTTTGCTTACTATATAAAGCTTTTCCATAAAATGTAGCAATGCTGACATGCAGATGCTGGTGTAGCTTTTAATACACAAGACACTGAGAACTTGACAACAGTAAACATTCATGACTTTGCTTTTGAAAAATAGCTGTCTAAACACAGTCACTGATTGGTCACATGTAATATTCGCTATCTGTAGCAAGGAACACTGTGTAAATTCACCTTATGTCTTCATGAGAAAGTAGCACAGGCCTATAGGAGCCAGGGAGATACATTTCCTACTTTTAAAGCACAGAGACACTTTGAAGTTTTTGCCAGCAAGTGATCAGTGCCTTGATAACTCGGATTAACCTCATCCTTTTTCTCTTCTTTCCTCGTATTTTCTGGACAGCTGAACAAGAGGTTTTATTTCCCTGAAAAAAATGGAAAAAGAAAATAGCACAAGAGCGGTTTGGCTTGTTTTCTCACTGTGCAGTGGTGCTGGGGGCTCAGAAGAACACATTAAAGTCATCTTACCAAATACTGGGGACGGCAGTTTTGCACAATTAGCTGCTCCATGCTCTCAACTGGCTTCTCCAGGTCAGATTGATTTTTGCCACTCCCTTGACACCGGATCTGCTGTGTCATACCATAGATGGAAACCAGGATGCGACGTGCCTGCCATGAGATAACAGCCCAAACGTGTAGAAAATTAAAAAGGTGGAATAGTCCATCTAGCATGTCAGTCAAAGGTTGAAAACTTCTTCTGTATTTACCCAAATGTAAATGTACAACATGTGCCACGCAGGTTGTCATTTTTACCCTGTCCATGGTGCTGAAAGTGCATATAATGTAGTGCCACTTACCTTTCCTGAGGGACAAGGGTCTCTCTCTTTAAATTTATTCGCTGAAACAGTCAGATTCTGCAAAAGAAAAAGCCCAGTGTTGAGTTATTTAAGACATTTATTTGGCTTGTGATGCAAAAGAGAGAGGGGAGAAAGAGCTTTACTTGAAGAGCAAACACTGGAGGGCAGCCTAGCACATGTTATTAACTCACAAGCTTTATCACAGCTGTAACTGATTGCAGTGAACTTGCATTTAATGGTAGTTTAGTTAGTGGGGATGTCTGCCAATACAATACTTAAAACACAATAATTTTTAAATATCTACAACAGTTAATTAATCCCACAGTCTTATGATAAACTTTGCAATCATACCAGATTCTGTAGTTCAACGGAGATGACTTCTCTGTAGGAGCCCAGTATTTCTTTATAGTTACATCTACTTTTCCCACAGGAGTAGGCCAACAAGACAGCCACCAGGACACTACGGAGCAGAGTTCCAGTCAGACACTATGAAAAGAGAGCAGTGTTACAACTCTTCACACGCAACCAAGGAAAACAGGCCACGAATCATCGCTCAATTTGGCTCCCGCTGAGGCGCACAGTGCGTTAAAAGCATCTGTCAGTTTCCAGCTGTCTGCGCCACCTGACATCTCGACCAAAGTCGAAATAACCACATTAATATACGTCGGTGTGCACGCTTCATCAGCAGCAGCTCATTTACTGCGTAAGTACGCACCAGATGTTCAAACTGCGCTTACCATTTATCATGTTTTTCTGCAGGATCTTCAGACGAGCAAACCCATCTCTAGTCGTGACCGTCTTCGCTCATGGTGAGCTCCAAACTTTCACTTTTTTTTTTCTTTGGCTCCCCTTCAGTACTTTTGCACTACCTGTGGCGGAGACGTTAATACGGCGACGGGTAGACTTCCGATGTGGCGCTCCGTGGCTTCCAACATTACCAAACTGACTGCTCCTATTTCCTTCCCCGTCATGGATTGCTGACGCCGGGCTTAGGATTTCACCAAACTCCAGTCCGATCAAGTCAAGGACAACTTCTGCAATCAATCATTTGCCTCCATCCTTTCGGTTTCGTTGGAAAGACACGACGCGGCATTTATCCAAAGCGCCGATTTAAACTTTTTAAAAGCTTGTTGTGATAGCAAAAGAAAAAAAAGGCAGCCTACAACAGCCTACAAAAAATGGAATGAAATACCAGAGAGAGCAGTCAAAACTATGACCCTGCATGGGAACTGCTCGGGAGGATGAATGTCACTCTTGGAGTGAAAGTGTGGGAAATCACATCTCACAAACAAAGTGTGCAGTCAGAGTTTGAGTTGACATTTAACTTACAGCACAAGAAAAAAAAAAGTCTTAGAAACCAACTTGTTTGGGAGAAACAGTGAATTCTGCAATAAACTTTATTGTCTGTTTATTGGATGCCTGCAAAGTATTTTTAAACACATTTCAGAAAAGATATGTAGAAAGGACAAAAATCATGGCTACATGATATAATCCTTGAGAAAGAGTTTATATACACTGTCATGTGTTTCTAAACAGATATAGCCAAATCTGGAGAAGACACAAAACATATAATTCCACAAAAATGTAAAGTGTTTAACAAACACAGCTACAGATAAAAACACCTAATGTGTTCAGTTCAAACATTCTGTAAATGTGAAACTGCCCTTTTTAGATAGTTCTTGTATAAAATGCCTGAAATATGCATTTATTTCACAATTGTAACAACCACATAGACTGAACTCAGAACAATAAATCAAAACAATAAAGCATAATTTTTGATTTAATAGTACATTTTTACCACCTTCAATGTGAGCTATAAATATAATTCGTTAACAGAATTCTCATGTGTGCCAAATCCAGCTGACAGTGTGCTGGTTTGCTGTGAGATGACTTGAAATGGCTGGTCACAGGGAGCTAAAGAATGATGAACAGATCAAGCATCGTGAAAGCAAAATAAGTGCTTGTCAACACACCAGAGAACACATTTTCTCATTTAAAGATTTCACAAAAACAAATTCAAGTGTTACAGAGTAGGGCTGGGTATCGTCACTGATTTCTAGAATAGATTCGATTCGATTCGGATTCACAGGGTCCTGAATCGATTCGATCCACGATTCGATTCAATTCGATTCGATTCGAATCTGGGAAATTTTGCCTCAGACAGTCAGAAATGTTATAATTCAGATCAGTACATTTACATATTTTTGTATCTATAAAAAGGAAGCTGACACTTTCCAGACTTTATCAAAGGTGTGAGCATCACTGCAGATGCCTTTGTGTCAAAGTAGCTGAAGATAAAACACAGAAAAACATGAAGGAGGTTTTCCTGGCCTGGGATTTTGTACAAATATTCTGCAGTACATCAAAAACGAAAGAAAACCATTAATCAACATATGAACATTATCTCTGAAGTTACAGTGGTTTTATTAGAGACACAGCGTTTTGCATTTTGTATAATTTTAAAAAGTTTAAATTTGTTCAGAAGCCTATTGAATGGCAGAAATTAGGTTTTCTTTTCGGAAGTAAGTAAAAGGAAAAAAAAAACAGTGGCCGACAGCGCTGTAAATAACGGTATTGTGCGTAACAAGCAAGCGAATAATGCAGAAAACAGATTTCATGAATAGACGGGAAACTGTTCTTGAAGTACACTGAGAAAGAGAGAGAGAGAGCTGTGCATGAAGTGTGATTTTATTGTGGTGGAAGCAAAACAGCAAAAGTCAGAGGGAGTCCATGACGATGTTTTTGTGAAGCGTAGTTGGGATCTTCTTTTGCTGCTGGTTCGGTCAGTATTGTTTGGAGAGAGATAAAACTAACAGCTTTAGAATCAGCGCAAAAAGGGCGTAAACACAAATCGCAGACCCGCCGAAACATCAGAATCAGCGAGCTGTCGGCTTTCAGCCCCGACCGTGTCCGTGCTGTCGGGTGAGAAAGGCGACATCTCACTGATTCTGATCCGCGGGTCCGCGCTTTGTGTTTACGTCTTTGTGCAGAAGCCGTGTACCTGCTCTCATTTACTGTTTTAAATGTTTGGTGGTTGTCAAAATTTTGTGACGTTTCACCTGAGATTCTTGAATTTTGGGCAAAATACATTTATATAAAAAATCGATTCAGGGTTTTAATGAATCGATATCACGTTATCCAAGCCAGAATCGATTTTAATCGATAAATCGATTATTAAAACCCACCCCTATTACAGAGTGAATATGGACGTTAAGTACAGACTCTCAGCTTTGAGTTAAACAAAAATATTGCATGAACTGTTGAAAAATCACAACCATCTTTCACAGTCACTTATTTTCAGCAGCTAGAATGTAATTTAATAAATTAATGTGGAATGAGTTTCCTACTTTGTGGTGTTTAGCCCAACATTTAAGTTTTTCATGACTCTTTCTGTCTTGTGTCATCACAACACTAGTGATTAGTGAAACTGGAAAGCATGTGTGTCTGAGCATCATACTGTTTCAGTCCATTTTTTTATTAGATGCTGTATGCTTGATTTATGAGCCAATGGATGGCTGTGCCAATTTTTTTTTGTCCCGTCATTCCGGTAAAGGTTGATGTCAGTTTTATTTGTTTAAAGAATGGTGTTTCCAAACTGCTCTGGCAAAGTCTTTCCTTTTACTTTCAGGTATGGTTTGAACCTTGTCGTTAACCCTCTGTATCCTTATAATTAGAGCCCGACTGACTTAGTTGTATGCCAGTCTATTGGTATCTGCACATTGTAACAGCTCATAAATGACATAGAAGAGAGAAACGCCCTTCAACCATGTTGTGGGTGTTGATATTGCATAAGTTGTCCACCAGAGGGCACTCTGCAACTTCCCTATTCGCAACCCACCAAACGCAACAAGCAGCTTCAGGTAGGGGATAAAAAAAAAAGTACCGTACACGTAACAAATGTTTATGTTTATTTTGTCTTCTTTAAAAAAAAGAAAAAGATATCGACAAATATATCGCAATATCATATTTTTAAAATAACCAAATATCAGTATCGTCCTAAATATCAGTCAGGCTCCATTTACAATGGAAAGGATCCCAGGATCATCCACCGGTGTTGTCATCCATGGAAATGTGGACTTTGTTATGTTGCAAAGTGCCTTGGTTTGTTTTTTTTTCCTGTCTAAATGATTTGGCCTCTCTAATGCACTCGCTATCACGCTGAAGGAGCTGTTTTTTCTTGTTTTGCAGCTGATATTTGGTCTGTTACACTTGTACTTAAGAGCTCTTTTGATGGCACGTTGTGGTTCACAGCTGCTTTCCAAACACGTCACTTGGAAACATTTCACAACCTTTTACCGCATTAACTTGTGAAGAAAAAAAAATAGAAGCAGCTCACAAAACAAAATAATAAATAAAAACAGAACACTGTAAAAACACTGGACCAGCTCTAACTCATCAGTGGTATTGGACACCCCTTGAATTAAAGCTTATAAGTCTGTCCTTTAAGTCCATATTGATTATATAACTGTAGCTTTTGTTACATTTTCAGTAACAAAAAACTGCCATCTTCCTACTTGTACACAGAGCTGAATGTTACCCAACTCCAACTCCACAAAGCTATTATAGCCTGCCCTGTTTATCTTTTGTTGCCCTTCTTCTGCCAAACAAGCAGAATACCAACACTGACCAATGGGAGTGCAGACTGTGATATTTGATCGATATCGGTAAAGTTAGTCAGGTTGTTAGCTGAACTAGGCAGACCTTTGGAAGAATTCTGTGGTAATGTATATTAAAATTTAGAGGATGCTGAATGATCCAACACGGCAGAACTATAAAATAACAGCAGGGATTATTGGATAAAAAAGATGGGAGACACTCTGCATGACTCTAAACCAAAGAGAAGAGAACGGCAGATTTACTATGACATAATCATTTATTTAATAAACCTGAAAGTAAGCTTTTATACTCAGTAATATTCTAAAAAGGTGGATTTAAAAATGAATGAATGAATCACTAGAATGGGTGTTTTTCTCTTTAATTATTCAATGCACATGCGACAGCTGCTTACTAGATGATTCATCGGTTGCATCTTCACAGCAGAGTTGCAAAGGGAAAACAATGTATTATTTGCCAGAAGGCGTGTGGGACCTGAAGCAAAACAAAATTCAATGTTTTAACAAAACAAAACAAAACACACCACCTCTGATCTTCAACATCAAGCAGAGCATGACTCAGGAGGTTTAAATAATAACAGAAAAATGCTGTGAAATCCGAGAGGACACCTAAGGGTACTCTTCTAGCACTTTTAGGAGAGTATAAGACAAGGATTTTAACAAAGAAGCCAAATCACAACGATAGCTGAGGCCACACCTTGAAACCCCATACACACAGACAGATCAAAAACGTATCCACAAAAACCTCACATCGCAGCCAAAGATCTCCTTACTGCATATCAGGATGAGGAGGGTAACCATCAGTCACTTTGATTTATTTATTATTTTTTAAAAAAACATCCACAGATTCCGTCACTTTGACGTCAAATCATTACTTTCTCCTGACACATACAACAACAAAAAAATGTAAGGGCGTGTGTAAATACTTTAAATCTGCCAGAGATGGGCAAGTCCTGGTACAGAATAAGCATGTCAATAGCTGCTCACTTCTATACTGGTGACTGCCAGAGTCCTCCAGGTGTTTTCAGTCCAAATTTCCCCACTCTCAGAATGTGTTCTTGATCTTGCTGGCTACCTGTGCTAAGATCTCTCCTGTCTTCTTCTGCCAGTTTAGTACATGTTTGGACTCGGCACACCACAGCTCTCCATGACGGGGCTCTGCATTCTCACAGCGTTTTCGCACCTCTTCTTGCTGCTCCTGAAGCATACAGAGCAGTAATGTTATATAATCACAGCACAACACATGGACCGGCCACACAAACAAGTGACTACCAACTTTGTGAAGAAAGGAAAAAAAAAAGCAAGAATGTATACCATAAATCATGCAGCTGGAAAAACTAATTACATGTTTATCATGTATGATTTCACATGTTTTACTGCACATTTTAACGACTGAACATAAATCTGAAAATTTTAAGTTTATAGCAGCTGACATATCCACTTCATACAATAACACTAAGTAATAACAAACAATTGATTCACAACCAACGCCTGGAGTAAAACTGCACCAATGCAATCAATACTGAGGAAAACTCACACAGCTACATGAAGAACTAGAAAACTCCACACAGAAAGCCCCCAGCCAGGCAGCAGATTTGAATCAAACTTCAAATGATTTAATCAACTTATTAATGCATGAACAAAATAGCACAAGTCTAGACACCAGATCCTTACCTCTGTGCCATGCTGCAGCTCAAACTTGTAGAAGAAAGCCCAAGCATCCCCCAGATCTGGCTCAATCTTTACGGTCCTGAGGAACCACTCTCTAGACTTGGTGATCTTACGCTCACTCCAGAACAACCTGACATATGCAGAACATCTCAAAATGTTAAGAGTTTCATACAGAAAGGTCTGCTGAATGTAAAACACCAACAAAATACACATTTTTATATTGTAGGTTATCACAAAAAGTAATAGCTATTACTAAAGGGAGTGAAAAGTTCAAGTCATACTTGGCTACAGCGAGCAAGACGTGTGGATCATGTTCACACTTCTTCAAAGCATCCACACTCTTTGTCTTCCTCTGGGGCCTGGCCTCCAAAAACACTGCCTCAGCCCACAGGTTACCTTTGAAGGAAGAAAATAAAAGGAAATTGAAATTTGTGCATTAAAGTCCAATAGTGCCAGTGCAATGAACGAAAGTTAAGTCTGCATAAACGTGAAGGGCACAGAGGAAAACAAACCATCTAAAGCAGGGATCACAAACTAAATACCCAGGGGCCAGATTCGGCCCGCCAAAGACTCCAATCTGGCACAGCCTACTTCAAAACGATTTTATGTGGTACACGGCGCTCGAAAATCTGTCAAATGTTTTAGCAAGACTTTGCTAAGCTACAAACCTGCACCGCTTGATGGATTGTCTGAGTATTATGGCTATCGTAGGCAGGAGCCTCGCGGAGTGATACGTACTGTGCTTCAACATAATATTGCCGTATTGTGTGTGTTTAACCTCTTTTAAGTTTTGTGGATATTATACATGGTTATGCTGAGGATATGTCGGCCAATTTCCACTGGAAATGCCTTTTGGTTAAACTGTCAAATTTTTATATAACTTTAATCCACATAAAAAACAGCTGCTTGTTTAACTGAAAATACATTGATGTTGGGTTTTTTGCACTAATACAGGTTCAGAAAAACAAAGCTTTTCCATCTATAGCAGCATTTTATACACACCTGAATTTGGGCACTCCTGCAGGGCTTTGGCCATCAGCGTGTTGGCAATGTTCTTCAGTCCAGCCCTGTACTCCAATCTGACTGACTCCAGCCTGATTAATAAGATCATATGTACTTTTAGATGCCTTTATTTCAGAATTTATGGCAATAAATGGTGTTGGTGTTATATATGTTCTTGATGTGCCAGTTTCGGTTGATGTGGTTTTGCAAAAGCAAATTAAGCCTGCTTCTAGTTTGGAGGCACAAATATAATATTTTCCAGCTGTAACTTTTTACAGGTTTTCATGGATAGGAGAGAAAAAAACACATGCATATGCTAAAATACACTGCTGCGCAGGTGACCTTTTCCAAACTCTTCCTAGTTCCTTGTTGTCGTGTATTTTCTTACCACAGCTCAGCGGTCTGGGGATTCTTGAGCCGCGCCTTCTCGAGGATTGCTCTGGCTCTGGTCAGCTGTCCCACTCTCTCTTCCAAATGTGACAGCAACAACCACAGTGGCACAGAGTGGGGACACTTCTTTAACTGTACCAATGAAAATAAAAATCCTTAACCCTTACTCTGGTTTTTAATGATACACTCATTTTCATCAAAAAATAAAACACTTCCTTCCTTTGCATTTGTGGTCAATCCAATACTACCGGTAAAACAAACCCACGCCCCAAACACAACCCCATCCTCACCCCTTGGTTATAGGCCTCTCTAGCTTTATCCATATTTTCACATTGCTCCTCGATTTGGCCTCGCATCATCCAAAGCTTAGGGAAGTCCTCGTAGTGCTTCAGGGCCTCAGTGCACAACTCCTGGGCAGCTTCTATGTTTCCCAACACCCACTCCAATTTCACTGACTTCATAAACACCTGTAGAGATTACAAATACAAATGAGACCTATGAAGTTTTATATTTGCAAATGCATTGTAATACACCTGAAACAGAATAATGTAAAACAAGGAAAATGCTTATACTGAACCCCAGTACTTGCAAGTCTATACATCAGTTTTATCAAATGCCAACTTGCTAAGTTTTTGCCTAAATGCTTAAGTGGTTAACACTAAAACTTTGTGTTATCTGATAGGACAAGCAGTACAGCAAACATTAAGGCAGATTCTCTTACTCACATCTGTCAGCATACAACAAAGATAAAGGGGAGTGTTGGCAGGTCACTTGACAGACAGAGTGGTGGTTTAAAAGCTTGGCTGACACATCTGTCAGCCTATGTGGTACTGAACGGCATAATCTGTGGAAAACCTGCAAGCCTGAACCTGACAGTGTTCCCAGAAACAACCTCAAGGAAATTGCACCATTATGTAGAGAGCAGTGGTTTCAAAACAGAAAAATAAACTAACACTTGAATCACTCATCCAAAATGTGTCAGAGTTCAAAAATTAATAACACTACATGAAAAACACAATGTAGTACAGTTCATAAAAGGCCAGTCAAAGTGAAAGGACAGGATTGATTCAATGCAAACGCAGTCATACTCAGTGCAAGTGACATGAGATAACCTGAACAACTTGATTTCATTAATCTTCTTATAAAAATATTCAGTTTCCTTTAATAGCTTTTTAGGCAATTCTATAATTCAACCAAGTATTAAAAGCTCAAACAGAAAACCAAGTATTAACTTTTATCCTTTCTACGAAGTAACCTTTACAATAGTTCCCTACTCTGAAATTCACACAGATACACTTACCCTGGCTGTTGGTGCACTGCTGCGGGCCTTGGCTAGCAGTCGACGGGCTCTTTCATACTCATTATTCTCCGACTCCAGTTTGACAGCAGCAAGCCAGATCTCTTCACTGTTTGGGTTAGCCTATGAAAACAGACAGAGGAGGACAGAGGGAGAGGAGAAGCAGAAGACACAGGATAACAGAGTTAGACATAGGTATACATAGATTACTCTAATATTTGACATGCTGTATCGAGAAGTGAATGCTTTTTAATTACCTGGAAGGCCAGAGCAAGGATGCTTCTGGCTGCTGGCACATCCTCAGCAAGCCACTTGGACTTGGCACCCATTAGCCACAATACCTCTGCTTTGGGGCAGTGAGCCACAGCCCTCTGAAGTAAAGCCTCCAAGGACTCTCTGAGAAATTAAATGTGCCATGAAAGAATAATGGATGCGGCGGCAGCGACGACGAAGCAGCAGGTCATAAAGCACAGGAGCAAAAAAGAATAAATAAGTATAGTGATGCGAAACAGCAACTGTCACCTTCTGACTGCTAATGTTTGCATTTGGAAATTAAAGATTGTCACCTGGTGCCATGGTTCTTCTCAAAGTAGGCAGCTCTAAGCCAGACACTTTTTTTACTTGGGAATACTTGGAGAGCATGGGCATAGATGGCCCTGGCACACTCCAGCGCCCCATGGGCCACACACTGAGGCACAAACACACAACCATCTCATTGTTAAATTTAACTACAACAGCAAGTATGTAAAAAACTTATTTTAAAAAACCCAAACTAATCTCTCTATACTTACACTCTCGGCATCTTCCATCCAGGTGTGTTTGCGGTCCTCCTCCTCAATTCCAATCCCTATCACAGCCCTTATCACAGCCTGGCAGGTAGCCACACTACTTGCTTTGTCACACTCCTCTGCGTCCTGCAGGGTATGAACAAGCATTTAGAAGGATAGACACTTTGGTAGAAGAAGAAGAAGGGTGCAAAAATTACTGGATGAACTGCTGGTATCAATTCTAGGTAAGCCATTCAAATGAAATGATAAAGTGATTAACACAAAAATAATTCTAATATTAATTAGAAAGAAATTTTAAAACTGACATCAGAACACCTGCAGATTTATAAAATAATAATAATATTAAAGCTGACAGACATTAATAAGCAAATATTTGCGGTGACAAGAAAAAAATACCACTGGCAAAAAAAAGAAAAAAGAAACAAATAAAACAACTACGGTATGCAAAAGAGGAATTTCAGTTAAAGCCAATTACTGCAAAACAGCTGTGTACTGCACTAAAGAAAACATTAGACACAGTGCTGTGTTGTTTTGCATCCAGATGAAACATTACTGGCATCTATTTGAGGATCTTGTGTGAGTTGTTTGCTGTTCTCACAAACCATTCATTTAACATGTCCCACACTTGGCAAGTGGATTGCTGGGGAGCCAAGGAGGAGTAGGGTTGACTTCAAAGTTGTTTGGATAAGTGTTCCGCATATTCTGGCTAAAAGCCGTTTTCTCTTCACAACAGTGAGACAGGTAATGTGTAAACAGGCAATTCTCTGGAGCCTTTAGAGGACTCTAGTCATGTAAATGTAAAATAAATCAGTAGTTTGTCTTTGCAAGGTTTTAATTTGCTTTTGCAGACTTACAAACTTAACTCCACAGCAAAGTCTCTAAAAGAGTAAGTCCAACAACAACCAATGAACAATTCGCAATAGCAAGTTCGTATGAAATCTCCCAAAACAGATCCTCGCTTCAAGTTTAAGTGCAGCAGGCTGTTCAGCGTGAATCTTTGGGCCTTTTCAGAAACAGGATACGTCACATAATTGTCTTCCTCACTTAGTTAACCCTTTAAGACCTACCATAGAACCAAGTCCGCCAGAGCTTATATTATATTTTTACATGCTGTAGAGCCATTTTTGGGAGCATTTCAAGTTGATATACATCAATACAAC